AAAGTTCAATGTACTTTCAAGGTAGGCTATGTGCTCTCTTGCCTTTGGGCTTTTTACTAACATATTATCCACATATACTATTGTAGTTTGATCCAAACTTTAGTTGGTATTAGATTTTCAGTTGAAGTGGTCTTGAAGAGATCAAAATTATAGACCGAAAAGAAAAGTCACCACATTTTCGCTAACCTACAACTAGCTAGCCTCTCGAGTGGTACTTGCATATTTTCTATAGAGACTTATCGCTCGTTTATCGCTTGCCTAGAGCTCAAGCGGCTAGTTACACTACTCGCCTATTGCTCGAGCGACAGAATTGTCCAGCCCAAGCTCGTTTCGCATTTTAACACATTTTTTACTCCTATTCGTCTACAACTTGATTTATAGGATTTTATATATATGAGTCACAACTTGTATTGTCCCCACAACATTTTGATAGCTTTATATCTTAATTGAGAGCATTGAGATCTTATTGTAAACACAATTACTATTGATTATAGTGGATTTGTCCTCCTCTACCTGTGATTTTTCCCATCTTTATTTTCTGTATAAATCTTGTGTTCTTATTTTGTTCTTGTTTATTTCATTATTGTCCTTGTCTTACGATCAATTCATAACAAGTGGTATCAAAGAGATTTTGGTAACTTGTTTGGTTCTAACAAGTGGTATCAAAGTAAGGTTGACTATTTCGCATGGCAACGATGAAATATGATATTTTGTTATTGGATCGAAACATAAGATTTATTTTATGGCAAGTGAAGACTCGAGCAGTTTTCACATAGATGGATTTGGGGAAAGTCTTGCTTGGCTTTGAAAGATGCCTTTAACATGGATGTGGGAAGAAAAATAGTATAGGGATCGAAAAGCCAAAACTCAAATTCATCGATATCTATTAAATCAAATTTTTCAAGATATTCTAAAGAGAAAAGTATTACTACATTGTGGTTGAAGTTAGAACAACTTTGTATAACAAAGAGCTTGACCAGTAAGTTACACTTGAAATAGCATTTATAATCTCACCGAATGTCCGAAGGTACATCATTGGATGATTTAACTATGTTCAAAGAAATCGTGGCTAATTTAGAGATATTGAAAGTTAAGTATGAAGATGAGGACTTGGCTTTGATGTTGTTGTGCTCTCTACCATCATCATATGTGACGTTTAGAAATATTATTTTCTATAGTTGGGATACTTTCACTGTGTAAAAGGTCTATGATGATTTACTATTTGAGTAGAAGATGAGGCATCTTACTGAAGGATCTAAGAGTCAGACTGGTTGTTCATGGAAGAAATCAAGATATGAATCTTGGTAAGGACATGAGAAATAGATCAAAATCCAGACATGCAGAGAAAGTATATCATTACTGTAAGAAGAAGGGACATATCAGAACTGATTGCTATTCATTGAAAAATAGAAAAAAAACTAGTAGTGCTACTGAAAAATAAAGTAACCTGTTAACACAGCGGGGGTGATGTCATGAAATATGGGCAAAGTAAATGCGAGCTTTTTGTGATTTCTGACATGGGTTCCAAAACTTGTGAGGAATGTGATTTCTGACATGGGTTCCAACATAGACTGATTTACAAGATACGAAAGAGTTTTGAGAGGTGTAATGAATATGGAAAACAAAACGCCTTGCAAAATTGTCAGAGTTGATACAATCAGAATTAGAATGTTCAATGGCACTACTAGAATACTTACATGTGTAAGACACGTTTTAGAACTAAAGTGAAATCTCATAACTTTGAGTACACTTGACTCAAAGGGTTATAAACACACTGGTAAATGTGGAATTTTGAAGGAGAGTTGGGATGCTCTTGTTGTCATGAAGGGACAGAAAACTCTACATAATCGTACATTTTATAGGGTTCCACAGTTTTAAGAGATGCAACAATTTCTACTTTTTTCCTTGACTAATGAGGAAGTTACTAAACTTTGGTATATGAGTAAGATAGGTACGACAGATTTGAGTATAAGGGGCCTTCTTGATTGGCAGAGGACTAGTAAGATGGAGTTTTGTGAGATTGTGTCTTTGATAAAAAAAAAAAAAAAAAAATAGTCATATTCACTAAAGGAAGACATGAAGGGAACATGAATATATCCATTCAGATCTTTAGGGCTGGCCAATGTGCCTTCAAAATGAGGTGCTTATTACTTGATAACAGTAATTGATGATTTTTTCAGGAAAGTTTGGATATTCTTCTTAAAATAGGATAGTGGAAAACATTGATCAAAAGGTAGACTCGAACAACAACAGGACTAAAGTGCAAATTTCAATAGAATCAACTTCGACTTTAGTGTACTAAATCCATGCGTGCACACAGTGGATTATTGTACAAGTTATACAAAGCACAAACCTTAACAAGCTTTGAAAACAGGATTTAATAATGACTTTCAACATAATAATGAGAGAATGTAAACTCACAAATATGATTAAAATGCCCCTAAATATTCTATTAATAAGACTATTTCACAACAAAAAAAAGGGTTATCATCTCCAACTTTGACACTAAGAGTCCTAAAGATTGTAAAAGCCTCCTAAAATTGCATAGAATTGAAAGAAATTCTAGGGTCGGACCTCTAAAAATTGAAAAAGTATCTCCAGTCAAGAAATTATTTCATAATGAAAGAACATCTCTCTCTCTCTCTCTGTTTCTCTCTCTCTCGTATAAACAATTGGCTATAAAAAGAGTGAATTGTCCAAATGATTACTGAACTTTGCAAGAGGTTTCTAAAGGGTCACTGAATTTTAAAAATCACTTAAATGATCACTCAACTTCGTAAAAGATTTCTACAGTGCCACTAAATTTTAAAAATCATATAAATGGTCACTAAACTTTACAAAATATTTCCTAAGGGTCACTGAATTCAGTGATCACTGGGAAACCTTTTACAAAGTTCAATAATCGCGTGAAAACTTTTTACAAAATTCAATGATCATTTAGGTGATTTTTAAAGTTTAGTGATCCCGTAGAAACCTTTTGTAAAGTTCAGTGATCATTTAGGTGATTTTTAAAGTTCGATAACCCTTTGAAAACTTTTTACAAAGTTCAGTGACCACTTGGACAATTTACTCCTATAAAAATTCCCAAAAAGAAGGAAAACCCTAATAAAATTAAAGAGGGAAAAATACCGTTAACTCCCTTCTTTGGGGCAAATATCCCTCTCTGTTTTTACAGTTTTACACTCGGTGGTATCGTGGTCGTATGCCTGATAATATCAACAAAACGTAGTTGGAAGTTGGGGTAATGATATTTAACTTTGTCTCATGGTAGTTGTAACACGATCGGAAGGCCTCGACTCTGACTTGACATTGGAGCTTTTCCTTATCTTTTAGTTTAGCTATGTCTCTGTTGTTTTCTTGGTTCTTGCTCTCACCTCCAGGCTCCATCCTCTAGGAGAGAAGACATCGGCACATCCCAGCACACTGAAAACACCGACAGACCTGAAACGTCTCCATTCCCACTCACGATTGGACACTTTGCTCTCTTTAGGTCAACTATGTGGTGGGAGTAATGAAGAACATGCTGGCTCGTTACGAGTCATCAACTCTACCCTCACCTCTATCCTCTCAAAGAGATAAAATCGCATGACCTTAGAGCGTCAAGAACTAACTCATAGAGGCACTTCCATCATAAACAAATTGCGAATTGGGAGTTATGTTAGCAACCGTTTGAATTAGTCTGGTCACCATTTATATGGCCGTCGATTTCTTCCTCTCTGGGCATTCATTTCTACTGCGATGGCAGGACTTCCATTCCTGCTTCTCTTTGATTTCTCATTGTTTTTTGATCCGCTTCCACTTTATGTTTCTTGACTTTTCTCGGTCCTCACATGTTTTCTTCTCATGGTTTTGATTCTTTCAATTTTCGAGAGATTCGACAGCAAATATTTTTTCAATTTGATATATTTTTTAGGAGAGAATATCATTTAATCTTTAGGCCCCTGTTTGAGCCCCATTTTTATCTTATTAAAATAAAAAATATGACATTTATTCATCATATCAAACCACCATTTTTAAATTTCTATCTTTATTGTGATGCTCATAACAATTTTATTTCTCATTCTCATTATAATGTAGTTCAAACGGGCTCTAGGATTTTAAATGAAAGTTCGGATCTTTTTCATTGTACAATTGTGTTATTTATAAATGATTTCTGAGACATTTCAATCATTTTCTTAAATTGACATTCTTCATCATTATGTTGAAAGTCATGATTAAGTCCGTTTTTCAAAGCTTATGGATATTTGTGTTTTTGTGACACTATACCAAAATTTGTTTGCTACATGCTAGAGCTTAGCGCAATAAAATCCAAGTTGATTTTGCCAATATTTGCACCAAGTTTTCTATCCATTTTCAAGGTCCTTTAATTTGAGGCTAAGGTCTCCAATGGTGTTCCTTGCCAAGTGTTAAGAGTGTCATTGGTACACGATGGGATCTTTTTCATGGCTGTCGTGACATCCACGCCAAGTCAGCATAAACTCAACAGGCAGATCTTTCAAGTGTTTTTAAGTTTTATTACCTACACATCCTCTCTTTTTGTCCTGCTTGGCAATGCTGCCGCAACTTGGGCTACACATTGCTTTGCGATTAGCTAGACTGCAAGGAACGATTTTGAGAAAATTAGTAGCGCGTGAAACTAAACTGACTCTACGAAAACTGAATGAGACATGGTAGAACTAAAATTGTTTCGAACTTAAATTCAAATCAAACCGTTATCTACTACAACTCTCATCTTGTCTGAAGTCAACATATCTCACCCCAAAGGAATCCCTTATTGGGAAAAATAAGCTCCATGGACAGACACCACATGCACGAGAGCACTATCAAAAACTATACTGCCAGTAAACAAAGATGCTCTTAAAGCTCTTTAACTGTACCGTGAAAATTAGCAATAAGCAGCAGCAGAAGATACTATAAACGCCTGGAATAAAACAAAAAACATGAGAAATATTGCGAGCCAAATGGTTATTCAACTCTTCCATATCTGCAGGACGTTCGAATTTAGCTAAGGAAAATGAGCTGGACTGCCCAGTTCAAGTTCATATATATCACAGAAATCCATCTACATAAACAACATTAGAATTCTACAGATTAAAAATAGCACTAAGAATTATTACTACTACAACCCTTTCAAAATCCCCAAAATAGTTAACCTTATATGAGCAGAAGCCATTTTTAAGGATAGAAAAATAAGACGCAGGCCTTCACCTCCTTTCCAAATTATAGCTCAACTTCCAATTTCTATTACCTACACATTCTTTCTTGGTCTACCCCTCTTTTTAGCTCCCGTTGAAGCCAGGGGCACGGGCGTTGGTGTTGGCGGCGGCGGGGTCACATTCGTGTTTCGCGGAACACTGCCACCCGTTGTGGGCACGGGTGTTGCCACAGCACCATCCACCTGCGACCCAAACATGGGTGGCATCCAATTGGGATACCCATTGCCACTTCCACTCTTCCTACCCTCAGAATTCCCCGCCACAAATCCCATTGGAAAGAACCCCCAACAGCAATAATAAGCCTCTTTTCCAGGCACCATAGGCGGCATTGACAATATTTCAGCTCCAGTAAATGCCCTCTTACAATTTTGGCACCTGAAACAACACCCATCATACAATCTAGGATACTCGTACAAGTTATAACAGTAAGGACATGCCGTCCAATAAGTACCCGACCCATCGCTTCCCAAACCACCACCATTATCAGCATTGCTACTATTGACGCCTTTTCTATTGTTCGATCGGGTTCCACCACTACTTCCACCGTCTCCCCTTGCACTCCGTCGGACGGACAATTTCTGGTGAAAATTCCCTTGATCCGGCTTCTTTTGCTGATGAAATTGCTGCCCCTGTGGCTGTTGTGTGGGCTGTTTCTTCATAGCCACCAGATCGACCTTCGTGAAAAGGGAGAACTCATTGTCGAACATGGGTTTCTTGCCGGGATCAGAGAGAACGGCCCACGCATCAGCCACGAGCCCGAAAGCCGACTCGGAGAAGGCGAAACGGTTCTTGTCTGGGTGGAGGAGGAGGGCGAGGCGCCGGTACTGCTTCTTGATCAGCTCAGCGTCGTTGGTGCGGTGAGGTAGTTGGAGAATGGCGTACCAATCATGGTGGTTGTTGACCCGTTTGTCGGCGGCTAAGAGGACATCGGCTACGGCTAAGATCTGTTCAGGCCCTTCCAAAAGAGGTTCGGTTTCCTGGGCTAAAATAGCGAAGTCTTTGGAGCCGCTGAGGTCTTTGCTCCGGAGCAGCTTTTCAGCGATTCCAAGGAGGCGTTCGGCTTCGGCTCGGGTGGTGGTGGTGTGATGTTCCATTTTTGTATCTGAATTTTGTGTCTGAGAAAACGATGGATAATTTTATTGGGTGGAGGGTTTCTATAAAAAATTAAGACCATGTTTGGCTAAGCTTAAAAGTGATTTTTTTGAAAGTAAATTATATAGACATACTCTGCAACTTAAATTTTAAGCATACATTAGATTGACAATTTGTTAATGAGTAATTGCGCATGTTATCATTTTAGGAAAATTTTCATAAATATCACTAACTAAAGATACTCAAAAATGTTATTTTTTGTGTGAAATGTCTAAATTGCTCTTAGTGACACCTTTTTGGAGCATTTAATTCCTAATTTGAATGCCATTAATATTATGATATGATGATTTAATTTGTATATCATAAATATTGGATATATAATAATTATATTGCATAATATGAATTTTGGTAAAAAGAGAGAGAGATAAAAGAATTTAAAAAGTTAACATAAACACATATTTTCTTACCATTAACAAACCATAACTTCTTACTCATATTCTTCATTCATTCATCAAGACGACATTACTTTAAGATTTACTATCCATTTTGAGATGTTAATTATTAGAAATTATTTATATTTTTATCGTATAGCTTACTATTTTGTAAATTTTAAATAAAACATGGTCATATTTATTTGAAATTTTTCGGCTTGGGTGGTGGTGGTGTGATGTTCCATTTTTTGTGTCTGAATTTGGTGTCTAAGAAAACGATGGATAATGTTATTGGTTAGAAGGTTTCTATAAAAAATTAAGACCATGTTTGGCTAAGCTTAAAAGTAATTTTTTGAAAGTAAATTATATAGACAGACTTTCCAAATTAAATTTTAAGCATGCATTAGATTGACACTTTGTTAATGAGTAGTCGTACATGTTATCTTTTTGAAAAAATTTCATAAATGTTACTAAATTTAGATTTACCAAAAAAAAAAATTTAATTTTCACTAAAGATGCTAAAAATGTCGCTTTTTGTGTGAAAAGTCTAAATTGCCCTTAGTGAAACTTTTTTTGGCGCTTTTAATTCTTCATTTGAATGCCATTAATATTATAATGTGATGATTTAATTTATATATTATAAACATTGGATATATAATTATTATATTGTGTTATATGAATTTTGGTAAAAGAGAGAGAGAGAGAGTTTGATTTAAAAAATTAACAGAAACACGTATTTTCTTACTATTAACAAACCCTAACTTCTTGCTGATCTTCTACATTCCTTCATCAAGAAGACATTACTATAAGATTCATTATCCATTTTGAGAGGTTAGCTATTAGAAACTGTTTATATTTTTATCGTGTAGCTTACTATTTTATAAATGTTAAATACAATATGGACATATTTATTTGAAATTTTTGAAACTATTATTCATTGATTTGTTTGATTTTTGAAATCTCTAAAACTTTTTAAATCGTCTACAAAATGTTGCGAAGGATTCCATATTTAGTTAAGCATTAAGTTATTTATTTAGGAAGATGTTATCATAAAGTTTAGAATTACCATTAATATTTTGAATAATTTCTTCCAATCAAACCCAATAAATATTTTCAAGAATTGCCACTTTAACCATTTCCTATGTAAATTATTTGGAAAGAATAGTTTGTCATTTGATAGTACAATATTGATGATCACACTTAATGTGATGAAAAATTTGTTCCAATCACCCACATATATGCTTCGCGTCAGTTTCAATTGTCCAACTCGACATTTCCAAGCTGTTGGGATAGATATTTCAATTGTTAAATTCTATACTTAGAATTTGCTAGGATAGACATTCAACTATTGGTTTGACCTTTTGCTATTGTATGGATTTAAATATTCAAGAATGTGCCACTTTCATGCTATTAAATATCGACATATTAATTGTGCAAGATTCTTACCATTGTAATCTCAACTTTTTAGGTGTGAGTAATCATTTAAGATTCATTAAGTCACATAGAGAAAAGTTTGTTCATGTAGATAAAAAAATAGAAGTAAGAGGGGATAAAACTACCCACATGACACAAGCAATTCAAAGACGAGTGCACCCTATGATTCAAGAAATGCACTCACTGTGGTAGAATTGTCATAATTGCACCACATGTTCCAACCTCATTGTAACACCACTCACATGCATAAGCTTGATGTCTGAAACTAATTGAGATTGTATTTTGCATGACCAAATGATAGCGTTGTACATTTTTAAGTTATATTATCATTATGGTTTCATTATCATTTGCAAACATTAGTCCTATAGCAATAACTTCATACAAAGTTCTCACATGGACAGATTATTTCATTACATTTCGACAGTTCAACTCTTAGTCCCGATAGAATATTTCTGTTTTTAATTGTTTGTGATTTTTTCGCATGTCAAATGTTGGCGCTGTACGTTCTGCATTTAGCCCCCGTTTGGCCCCCATTACATTAAATTACATTACATTTTATTTTTCTCTCTCATATTTTCAAGCACACAATTTTCGATAAAATAATATTACACACGTAAATTGAAAATTTTTACTTCTTTTTCAACCCTCATTTTTCAAAAAAATCACTATTCCACCCATTTTTACTTCAAAAAATGAGGGCCAAATGAGGGCTTATATTATCACTGAAACTGTTTTACCATTTGAAAACGTTAATCGTATTTAAGTTCACAAGTAAAATATTTCATTACATCTCGAAACTGAAACTGCGGTCCCAATAGAAGGTTCCTATCATTGTCGACAGTTGGTTGCAAACTTGACTATAAATAAGATGCAAAAGGATATGTTGTTGCACAACATTCGGTACAAAAGTTCCCATATGAATCCATGACAAAACTATAATAAATAATTATAGCCGATGACGTACGCAAATTTTGTCCACATCAATGGTCATCGAATTCTTGGATATGCATAAACAAAAATATATACAACCACCAAAGCATGTTTATAATCAAATTCTTGTAGAATTGTCCCTATTATAGTCATTTATACATAACTATAAAATAGTATTTATCACAGTATTAACAAAGTTCCTAGGACACTAATTTTTTACTTTTTTCTCATCCCCTTGGTATATAGAGTCCTGGTAGATGTTGTATGAAAGCAAATGCGTGTCGATCGCGCCCTTTTATGTTAATTGCATCCTCGCCTTCAACGTGTATGGTGGCCACCACCAATATGTCAAGTACATCGCCCACGCAAAAGTAGTATGATCGAATGTAAATAATAACATAACATAACATAACCTACCAACATCTAATTATTCACTCGACTACCTAAAATCAATATTATGAATCTATTTTTGGGAACTTACCTTCAAGTTCGAAGTGGGAAGCGTGCTTTCCTTATTACATCATCCTACATTGTAGTATCATCTGCATTAAGTCACGAGAAGACATTCAACATTAATTTTCAACTCAATATGCTTATAATATATAATCAAAATTCAACTTAGCATAACTTCTCCAATTAAAACTTACCATTTGCCTCCATCATGTCATAACCTAAGAAAACTTCTTCTTTGTCCGAGCATGGCACTTAGGGCTATATGCCTCATCCATCTAAATGAAAACAATATTTGCAACATTAACAGACATGTCATTGATTTCTAATTTGTATACTAGAGAATAAGATTCAAAATTTTAAAATTTCGCATAATTAACATACATACCATTTACCTCATTGTTCCCATTAGGCAATGGACCCTCCTGGTCATTTGAGGCACACACCTTCCGGCTCTATGTCTCTTCCATTTTCGGGAATGAGGAATTCAAAATTTACCTGCAATAACAAAACAAAAAAGTCATAACATAATAATTAGAACGTGTTAATGCGACACACACATGTAAGAAAGCAAAATCACACGCGCGTAATATTTGGATAAACCAAAGTTAAATATGTGGACAGTTGACTACCAAACTGATCTAACAAGAAGTTGTCATATATTGAGAAATAATGCATTTAACTGTCAATAACGATAGTTCATCTATCAAGAATGAAAATTTATATCGACAGAAGACTCAACTCATTTGTCGGTATGTGCTTATCTGTTCGAAAATAACTGAAACAAACTATCAAGAACAACAGTTCAACACAACTAATATGCCACATAACTGATAAATGGAGTGGTTATCTGTTGAAAATTCATAACTGTCGAGACTTTGATTTTGACAAATTAAATAGTTCACCTAAAATATTTTAACATAGAGGAAAATACGATAAGATATCTCAAATGTTCATAAATTATAAAAATCAACACTCCCACGTACAGGACAAGGAAATAACAAACTAAACCGTCTAGACATGTACCTTTCGAGTCGACACCTTCATACGAAACAATCAAGTTTCAAATGATAAGGTTGAGAAATCCAAACAATTAAGCAATTGCTTTTTTAAAATGAAAGAAGCAACACTTTTTAAAATGAAAGTAACTTATAAGAAATAAATTCATAGATAACTTACATAAACCCTAATTTTAGTATTTTCCCTGAACTAGAAAAATAATAGACAACAAAAATAGAAAAAAATGAGACATATTGTATCAATTCAGAGTAAATAATGAGAACAATAAAAAAGCAAACACCCCTAAATGTAAAGAATCTGAAAAAAGAGATCAAAAAATGCAAAAAGAAAGAAAAACAAACCTCAAGAGATTAATGATGGTCTTCGTTGGAGGTGAACTGACTAATATTGATCATAGACGGAATGGGCTTTTGATGATTCGAATTAGAGAGAAGGGTGTGAGTTTAGGGTTAATGAGTGTTTGAATGATAGATTGAGTTGTTTTTTTATTTTTGCTTTTGGTTTTACACTTTTTTTTTCAAATTTGAAAGTTGAGTTATTTGGATGTGACATTTTTTAAGTTTTTTGTACAATTTTTTATATAGTCAAATCTCATTTAATGAAGGATATGTAGGGTATTTAAATTATCTAGAGGTGCAAAAATATCCAAAAATGACAATTTTGTAAAGACTTTAAAAAAGTAAAAATTTAGAAAATGCAAAGCCAAAAATTGACATATAGCCCCCGTTTGACTCATTAATTTTCATTCCATTACATTTCATTTCTCTCTCC